CCTTCATCTGGATCTGATGGTGCTCTCAGACGCGACGCCTGGCTGAGAGGCTCAAAATCACTTTCCAGAACATTCTCGTTCACTGTTCCTGGCTGGTGGAATGATCTTCCCACCCCTATCCGGAATGCTGAATCCCTGACAATTTTCAAGCGACAGCTGAAAACTCATCTCTTTAAACGCTACTTGTCTTCACCTTAAAAAAAAAATAAAAAAAAAATCTTTCTCTTTATTCCTTCCCTTTTCTAGCTTGTACTTATTTGAACAATGCCTAAAACTTGGTATTTCAAGCACTTCCTGTGTCTGTTTGCCTCTTTAAGAAGAATCGCTTTATGTATTCCCCAATTGTAAGTCGCTTTGGATAAAAGCGTCGGCAAAATGACTAAATGTAAATGTAAATGTATATTGCCTACAGTTTCCAAACTGGCTCAGCAATGGGTAGCAAAACAGCTGATTACTTACTTGAATGATACCCCCTTTGCATTCAAAGCCATTTGGATTTCACTCTAATCATTCAACTGAAACAGCTTACTGTTATCTTCTTGAGAACATGAAATCTAAACTTGATGGTGGAGTCATAGGAGCAGGGGTTTTGGATTTAAAGAAGGCTTTCGACACCGTGAACCATGAGGTACTCCTTTCAAAGCTCACACTTTTAACTTTTGTGGTGAAGCTATTAAATGTATTAATTAATACTTCTCAAAGAGGAGACAAAGTGTGCATCTTGGTAATAGTTAATCAACATATTTAAACTGTAATATTGGAGTTCCTCAAGGATCAATTTTGGACCCTATCCTGTTTAGTTTATATACACTGTAAAAAAGCCAACTTTCAAAAAGTCCTCCCAATAAACATAAAACAGTCAATTGAACTATGATATTTTCATTGGAAGTGTTCATGCATTATACTAAGTTGATTCAACAAATTTGTTCCTTGAATGTTAAAAACATGCAATATTTTGTTGATCTAACTAAGAAGTTTTAGTTTTCTTTGAAGCTCACGATTCTTGTTTGAACCTTGAACGCTTTGAGACTTCAGCTACTTATGCTACGATGCGGGTTTCAAAAAGCTGATGCTGATGAGAAGCAACCGGTTAATTAATTAATCCATCTTTTCTGCACAATAACTAGTACGTATTATTCATTTTTATAATCGACTGTATGTTATTTGTCATATATAATGTATATTGTGCTCTTCCCAAACTGATCGCGTTCTCTAATTTAGCAGTATTACTCATTCGATGCTGATGTGAAGGAGTGGTGTCGTGCCTGATCAATCCAGCTTTACTTTAAAATCACTGGTATGTAGTAAACATTTTTTATAATCGACTGTATTTTATTTGTCATATATAATAAACATTTTGCTCTTCTCAAACTGACGGCCTAATCTCATTTCGCAGCGTGTTTCTGATTTCACACACTTTTGAGTGCTTTTTGATGCTGACGTGAAGGAGTGGTGTGGTGCCTGATCAGTCCAGCTTTTCATTAAAATCACTGGTATGTAGTAATCTTTTTTTTACACACACACACATATATATATATAAATCAACTGTATTTTATTAGTCATGTATGTTACTACAGTTGTCAGTTGTTACTGATGTCGCGCACAGGAAAATGCATTAAATGAAATCGTTTTAATAATGGAGAAATCACGAAATGAGTATTAAAAGAGACGTTTGCTCATATGTATAGACAAAAATGTACTGACCATGTAGATATCTTCCTGCAATTGCTTTGAAAGTACATGAACATTGTGCACGTCTTTTCAAGTTTTGAGAGAAGTTTGCCAGTGGTACAACTGAGAAAAGGGATTTTATTTTAATAATCTTTTGATTAAAAAATTGCGTGATGTTCATAAAATGTAGTATTGTGTAACTGATTTTGTGCTTTTTTGAGTGCCTCGCATATTACTTAAAGTGTTGAGATATGGTTGTCTATGGGGAAAAAGCGAGACATGCGTTAAAATAAGGTAAAAATCGCATTAATATCTTAGTGTATTTTGCTCATACCTGTAATGTCTGTTTTGGGTTTGTTTCAAGTTCTTGTTTTCATGTGTTTTATTTTGTAATTTGATTTATGATGTTAGTGTCATGCTTCCCTTGCCCACATGTATTTCTGCCCTGTGTATGTGTCAAGTTCTGATTGGTTGTCATAGTCATGTGTCTTGTTCCTCATTTGGTTATTGTTCTGTTTGCTCATTGGTTGATTCTTGTAATGTGACCCATAGTGTTTGATACAAATAGCCCTCATGTTCCCATTGTTCTTTGTCGTGTATTAATGTATGTACCTGCTGTCGGTGAGTCTAGTCTGTTCGTGCTACATCAAGTCTGTTCAAGTCAAGTCGGTTCAAGTCAAGTCAAGTCAAGTCTTTGTTTGGATTATGTTTGGATCACTTTGTAAATAAACTGCACATGGGTTCTTCAACTTGCCGTTCAGTGGACTGCTCATTACAATACCTCTTGACAAAACGGCCAATAAACTGTATTCTGACATTGTTCTAGACTATATTACATACAGTTAGCTAGCTGAAATATCCATAAAAATGGGAGAAACTGATGAAAAATGTTGTTTTTGAAGTGGAAGTAGTCCATTGAAGAAGGAAAAATATTGAACCGGAAGAAATGCAATTCAAATATTGTACATTTTCAAATTCTGACACAGAGGTCCTGGTAAAGCATTACAGACTTCATCATGGACAAGGTCATAAAGGAACAAATTGACCTTGCACATATTCAGATTGTGTCTGCTCATTCAGGACACAGGGTGCTTTAAAATCCCATTTGTCACACTGCGCTAACATTTAAATTTGAGCTGTGTGAGTCTGAAAATGTTTGCCTCACAGACTGTTCAAGAGGCTACTGACTCTGGTTGTGAAAGTGTGGATATTGAAACTCTTGAGCATAAACGGGCTTCTGTATTTTTGAAAATGCAAATAGTCTTGCATATATCCAAGAGTGCCATCCATAACATAGTCGAGGAAATTCATCATATACTGCACTTTTCCAAGTCTCTTGCTGTTGAAAGCATCAAAAATATTTTGGCCAAACAAAAAATTGATGTAGATACTTCTATCCTCCAGTGCTATTTTTTAGACCAATCCTCTTCTCCTGACTACTTCAGGAAAAGGTAGTTTATCCACAGACCACAGAAGGAATTTATATTTCAAAGAACACTTCTCCGTAATTGAGCCAACAGATTATCTCTATGACAGGACACACAAAAATCACACAAACACTTTGTTTATGTGTCTTTATATCATGTTCTGGAATGCTTACTAGGTCATAAAGATCTTTTGGCTAAGATCAGATATGTTCAGTGGAGAGTCTACTCCTCGACATTTTGAGTCTTTTCAAGATGGTTCTTACTTTAAAGAGAACAGACTTCTATCTTTGGGACTGTATGTGGATGAATTTGAAGTGTGCAATCCCTTGGGCAGTTCGAGAAAAATCCATGTTTGCTCATTGGTTGATTCTTGTAATGTGACCCATAGTGTTTGATACAAATAGCCCTCATGTTCCCATTGTTCTTTGTCGTGTATTAATGTATGTACCTGCTGTCGGTGAGTCTAGTCTGTTCATGCTACGTCAAGTCTGTTCAAGTCAAGTCTTTGTTTGGATTATGTTTGGATCACTTTGTAAATAAACTGCACATGGGTTCTTCAACTTGCCGTTCAGTGGACTGCTCATTACAATACCTCTTGACAAAACGGCCAATAAACTGTATTCTGACATTGTTCTAGACTATATTACATACAGTTAGCTAGCTGAAATATCCATAAAAATGGGAGAAACTGATGAAAAATGTTGTTTTTGAAGTGGAAGTAGTCCATTGAAGAAGGAAAAATATTGAACCGGAAGAAATGCAATTCAAATATTGTACATTTTCAAAAAGAACACAATTCTTTTGTCCAGGAAGTGCAGACAAATGGAAGTTTGCAAAATGTCAGTGGTGTGAAATGGGGATATGTGCTAAATCTTTCTTTCATCCTGTAACTGGTTTCCCTCCTGATGAATTACATGATTTTTTGGAAAGCATTGTACCTGTAGAATTGTCTTTGTGCCTGAAAGATTTAATTTCGAATGGAAACATTTCATTTGATGAGCTCAATCACTGCATTAAGTCCTTCCCGTACAAAGATTCAGACAGGTTTAACAAGCCAAAGGTATTAAGCAAGTCAAGTTTCACCAAGGGTTCACTAAGTGGTAATGCACACGAGAACTGGATGCTTTTACGTTTTCCTGAAAATGAACCATCTTGGGAGATTCTAATGGACCGGAAGGTCATTACTGAGATAGTTCTATCTTCAAAATTTTCAGGAGTCTCTTTGTTACATGGAGAGCAAAATCAAAGTCCACCAAATCTTATTGACTAAAACTTTTCTGAACTTTACTCTGTCCAAAACATAATTTCATTAACCATTACCCTCATTTGATTCGTTGTTTTGGACCATTGGTGTCACGGGCTACGTGGGCCAATTGGAACAGAGTGGTTTCACATGTGCTTCTTACACATGTTCTGGTACCGGTCCTACTGGCGGCAGTCAAGGTTGTTTCTGATTTTAAATATTTAGGAGTAATTTTTAGATTCCCAACTGTCAATAACAAAAGCATGCCAAAAAGGTAGCCAATATTATTCAATTTAACTTTAGGCATATATAACCATTCATAACCGTACTTAACAATAGAGGCAGCAAAACTTTTCATGCACTCTAAGATCTTTACTTCTATTTCTCATATTGTTTTAATAGTTGGTCACAAGCAAGCACAGCAATTTTACAATCAACTGAATCACTTTACAAACAGATGCTTAAAATATTTGATCAGAGGACTAATAGTTATCAATATTGCAACATAATTTATTGAGTTTTGATAATATTAAACGTTTGGTTGATGCTTGCTTGATTTTTAAGATTCTAAATTGTTGTGCACCAATTTTTTCATCTGGTTGCCCAGTATTACTGGGTCAGTGGTTCACCATCATCCTAAATGAATGGACATTACCCACCTCTAGAGATTTCAGGTACTTCCAATCAATGTCCCTGAAGGAACGCTTCATGAAGGCTTGTGTTGCCGTGCTGCTAAGATGTTGGTGTTCTGAGGACACATCCTTCAGTTCCAGAGGGAAGGAGTTCTTCAGCTTCTCCATTCCACTTTGGTAAACCTGAAGGCCCTCCTTCACTGCAGCCTCATTCTCAATCGTTGCCATTGCTATTACAGCGTTCTCCAGACATGGCACAGCCCCACTTGAGATGGTGTCCACATATGTTTTAGCCAGATGACCCAGAACTTCAGAGAAAGAAAGAAATTAAACACAGTGATTAAAAATTTATTTATAAGCAGATGGTTTTCTGTATGCACATGCAAACTCTTCAAATTTTCTTTCGAATCACCTCTTCCAGTGACTGTGTGTCCATCTTTCAGCCTCTTCACACAGCTGTCATGAAAGACAAACTGGCAGAAATGATCTGTGACCTTCAAGAACTCAGAGGAAATGTCAGCAGAATTCAAGCTCTCCAGGCAAGACATATTTTCTGGGGCGGTTGGAAAGGGGAAAGTGAAGCACTTCCTGGAAGGGAAGAATTTTTGGATGCATTCCCTGGGAAAGTTGTACTCCATCACAATTCTCGTAGTGCCTAGAAAAGATGAGCACATTCTCTAGCTGCTCTCAATTCTAGAAAAGAGCATGTCTGTTGTAGGAATGTAGCTGGTTGAGCTACTGGACATAAAATGCTTAGAAAATAGAAAGCTTGAATAACAAAACAATTCAGCACAGTTACAAGAACTAGTTGTGATAGTGATTATAAGAACTATGCAGTATTTTTAAATTACCATGTTTCAGCTTCAGAGCAAACTCTAGATACTCATCCTCTGTTGCATCTTTGCCATCGGTCTTTAGCTCCAGTGTGAAGTCCCTCACAGCCCAGATGAAACTAGGGAAGAACTTCACAAACTCGCTTGAATCATCGGCATCCTCATCTGATGATTTGACCTTGATGCACTCTGATAGTTCAGTGACATATCTGACAGTTTGTTCAGGCATGAGCACAAAGCAACAACAACTCATGATGCATAACAAAACATATATTATTCAATGAGGTACAGTAATAAGCAAACTCACAACACCAGGGCTAAATGCTTTTCAGTATGACTAATGATCAGCAATGTTCCCTCTAAGCTGCGCGTGTGTGCGGCCGCGTACCTCTTACGTAAAAAAAAAAATGCCACGCACAGGACAGATGCAAAAATGAGTTGGGGAAAGGTTAAATTCTAGTAAATGTGAAATAATAGCAATGTTCGGGCAAACAGCTATGGAGTTGGTGTTGCTATAGAGTTAGAACCGGTGAATACGGTTCACAGGTTTCGTAGAAAGAGAACGATGTGTGCCAAATGAGTCGCTGTAGAAATCGAATACTTTAATAGTTGCGGATGAAACAGCTCAACACGAGAGGCAACGCAAACGCAATGACGTGAAATAAAACGTCATGTTTTAAAGAAGAGTGGCTTGGTTAAGTGGTGGAAATAGCAGATGATGGGCACAGAATGGCAACAAATCTCCAAAACATTTACAGTTTCACACATGTGTGGAGTTACTTCCAATGTCTTTACAACTGAAGATGGTGTATGAATGTCTTGTTTCTTTTCGTATAGTCCGGTGATATTTAATAAAGAGTTAGTTTGAACCATAGACTGTAAAAAAAGATGGACGACGCGTCTCCTATTCCTTCCACTGTAGAAAAGTGAAGCCAAAGCATCTCAGTATGGCCGCTGCCATCTTGAGTAAATGATGTCATTTGGAGCCATAGTCTGCGCAGTAGAGATTCGTTTGGAGCCAGAGTCTGCACAGTAGTGTCGTGAGG